AAGGATGCCATTTTCATACAGAAGGCTGGGTGATCATCCAGAGTGAGCACACACATGAATGTGTTTGCAGACAAACTGGAGCAGAGGCATGTGCTTTGTTTTTGGAAATGCATTTATAAATGGATAAACAGAGACCTCCCCAGGCATTGCAAGAAAAGGTCATATAATTACCAGTGAAGCCAAAGAGAGCTTATGGGTGACCATTGGTTTTTAAGATGAAGCCATTTATTTAGATGTTATCATACTTCTCTAAGAAAGAAGCTCTAGGCACCATTTTGAATTTAAAAAAACCTAGAAACAAGCATCTGCCATGTGTTGAATATTCCCCATTAGCAGCAGGTTTATGCATGCATGCGTTTTAAAATGTTTATTATGACAATACTTGTTATGACTGCCTTAGATTTAGTAAATACCACATGATAATCAGACACAGTTGTTAGACCTTGAGCAAAATATGATTTAATTTCTTTTTAACATACTGAACAATAGCTATTTCTTGGTAATCTAAACTGAACACAGACACTTGAAACTACTTTGTTTCCTTGGAGGGGACAGTGAAAAGGAGCAAGGGAAAAAAAATAAACCTGATCTCTGTGGGAGTTTGTCAAGAAGCAAAAAGGCAGGATTGCATTTACCATAAATCCTACTTTCCTCCCTACTGAATGCACAAGCCCTTACAGACCTTATAGCAAGGTAAATTCTTCACCTACTGAAAAAACAGGTATTGCCTTCAGTGAAGTTTTAGGCACTGTTACAAGCAGTATGGTGCAGGACCCCAAACTGCTGAGGCATAGATCAACCATCTTATGCCAGTAGCATGGCTGGGTCCTTGCCCAGGGGCTGTGCTCCCCTTTACTGTCCTCCTGCTCTTCACTGATGAAAAAAATATTAAATCACTGCAGCTAGTGTTAATTTGGGTTACAAAACAGGTTAGCTTTCAGAGGAAATCCATCTCAAGGTATATTTGGTTTCCTTCACTCCCTGCTTTTATGTGGAATATGATTGAATTTGCAAAAAAAAAGAAACCCCCTACACTGGTATTTAATTAGTTTGCTGGCAAACTGGAAAACATCTGTCCAAATGAGATAAAGACTCATTTGACACAGAAAGACAGAAGTGTGGCAATGTGTGTGTTAAATGGCGCTTGAGCACGTACAAAATTATTTGGCATGCAGAAGGGTTTTTTTTCCCAGTACCTGAAAAGACAAGTTTCCACTAAAATTCAGTCTCTGTACAGTACAGGGTACTCTCATGTCTCTTCAGAAAGTACTCATCCACTGACAGGTTACTCCCCAAATGAGTTAATGATCCAGAGATGAATTTAAGCTGTGATGAAGTTTTGAAATAGTGTTTTTGAAAACTGTGGACAGCAATGTGCTGGGAAATTCACTGCTCAAGTTGGTTACACTTTACAGCACCAGTGCTGAGAACAACAATCAACATTTGTTTGATTCTCATATCTGAAAACACCCCACCCTTGAAGTCACAACAGCTGTTCACTGGATAGGAATAGCTTAGTTCGCTACAGGAACTAAAGCCGAGATAGCTGCTCTTCTAATTTTGCGCTGAGAATTCTTCCAAAAAAGGTAGGCTCACAGAATTAGTTTACGAACGCCAACACTCCCACCCCCAATTTGTAAGTCCAGTGCTTAATCCAATGCTTTTCATGTGGTGGAGACCTTAAGAAAGACATGTATGTGGGAGGGTGCACATGTTTGCAAGCACAAATCAATCAGTGGTTTAAGGAATCTGTATTGTATAAAGCAGGGACAGGAGAGGTACTTGTTCCCAAAGTAGCACTAAAAATGAAAACAGAAAAAAAAAGTGCTCACTTTGTGAGGACTTCAGTTTTCTCTCATAAGCCCTTCTGTGACATTTCTTGAGCTGCCGTGTACCTCTGTGTATGACCTGGGGCCAGCCAGTGGAAAGCCCCCAGAGAGCAGCTGTGCACCTCACCCACCAGCTCTCTGCAATGCAGTGGGGCTGCTCCTTATGCACCTCAACACTGTTTGCCATTTCCATTGCATTACACTGCTCTTGCATGTCTGTATTACATACACTTCAGTGAGGTGCATAGTGCTCCTGTGGGATTGGATACACCATTGTAGATACTTAGTAATAGGATCTGTTATCAAGGTCACCCTAAAAGTCACCCTAACTACTTCTGATCTCAAGACAAAAACACGCTGGAGAATTTAGCTTTTCGTCGTCGATTTTTTTTTAGTAGCACTCTTCTGTGAACAAAATATCCAGAGTTACTAGGATTTTTATTTTGCAGCACTCATTTTCCATGTTGAAACTAGAGCACTAGCAAGGCCATCCCCCCAGTGAGTGGGGAACTGGTCCCTGCAGCTTCAGGCAGCCCCTGTGGAAGGGACCACAGGGAAAAGACTTCAGGTCACTGAGATCTACTCATGCCTTATCCCTGTTTGGGAAATACAGCAAATCAAAAGCAAGGGCTGGTAAATTAAGCCCATGGGGGTAGTCCCTGGGGTAGTATCTTTTAAGTTCTCAGACAACCCAGCGTTGGTTGCAGAGTGATGACTTTCCTGTAAGAACCAATAAATCAAGGTCTAGTTTCCACTCTTTGCAAGACCACCTATGATTTCAAGTCCCAAGTGGATGGGCATCACTCTTTCCATACATTCTTTTCATAATTAGGCTTAAACAGCCAAACTACTTCACACCAATTTAAGAATTATGACTGCTGGTACATTTTGTTTTGTCTCCTGTTTCTGCTGACAAACTCAAATAGCCAGAGGAAGGTCCTTTATAATTTTCTCAGGAGAATAGCTCTACCAAAGAGATTATTGAGAAATGTTCTCACTGAAGCTTTGCCTGTAAAAATGTATTTTTTTCAGGGATTCTCTCTCATCCATAGAGCCAACCAGATGCCTTCACACACAAGCAACTGAACACTGTGGTTTAGGATAATGTTCCTTCACACTCAAGTTCTTGTCCCACCCTAGGTAAAGCAAAATGTTTGTTGTGGCCTAATCTGAATGACTGGTGCAAAATGACATGTCACATTGTGGGAAGGTTCAGTGGCTCCTCTCCTCCATCTTCCTTCCAACATCCAAAGTTACAGTAAAACTTTGCATTCTCCAAACCCTTGGCTTCTCTAAAGGTGCTCTCATGCACTAATTAACCTGCTACAAACACAGAGACACATTCCCATTGCTTTCTGACAAAAACCCTGGAAAATCCCAATCCAAAGCCAAATTATTGCTCCACCAACAGTCACCTTGGAAAGCATGTCAGATCACATTACATGAATGGGTTTGGAGGGTGATGCCTAAATTGCTGGGCTTTGGGTGAAGGGGGTGAGAAGTCTTACACTTAAAAACAGGTTTTTCTCCTCCTCATTCTCCTTCAGAGAGAGGAGGAGAAAACTCTGTCACCGCTGGGAAAACATCTTTTGCTGTCCAGAAGCTCTGGAGGACCTTTCCAACATTTACGATCTATAGGCTTCTTTTGAAAACCAAGAGCAAGATTTTCAGTAGCTTTTAGGTTTAAAGATGCCCATAGTGAATGGGTTTCACTGGGAAATCCATTTAAATGGTTTCCTAGTGAGGTCTTCAAACTAGAGCTGTGCACCCAGGCATTCAGAAACAAACTGCAAGGCAGAAAAAACACACTTTCAACTTCTCTCAGTGCGTAAATAACTTTTTAGAGAAGCTGAGTAGGATGAAAGGCAATGAGCAGAAGCTGAAGGACTATCCCCAGCATCTCTCATGCTTCTGAGCAGGCTTTCCTGTAGTGATGGTATCTGACAGCAATAATCCAGCAGCAGCACATATGACTACCACATCTCTCATCAAGACTAATTTTGTCTGATCCCTCCTTCCTTTGGGAGCAGGGGGAGACAAGCTGGACAGAGAGTACCAAACACAGGCTGTGTCTCCAGTACCTGTGGCAGACCCCAAGCCCCAGACAGCTCACGAGGCCACGGGGGAGGTTCTGACCTCCTCCCACAAATATGTCAGCCAAGTCCCATCTAGCCCAAGGTTGTTCAGTAAATAAACTCTCACCTTCCACCTCAGCTAGTCACAGGCACCAGCCCCAGCCAAAATCAATAGATGAGAAGCAATCTGTCATTTCCAGGCCACACTGGCTGGGTTATGGATGAGTCAAAAAACACTACAGGAAACACAGAGGTGGTGAGATCACCTCCTTCTCTGAAGCCTTCCTATTTCTACAAGTCTTGCCTGATCTCCCTCAAAATTTCCATGTGCATACACAAAACCATCTCGTGTACCTTGTGGTTGTGCCTGTTCCAGTGCAGGTGCATTGCGTGATGCTTGGCAGCCTGGCACGAGCAGCAGGAGGCTGAGTTCACCCTGAGCTGCAGGCAGGCTGGTGTCTCCCCGTAGGAAAGCTTTTTCAATTATTTCAAATGCCTCCCACTCGCACACAAAGCCCATGTTTTGTAATAAAAACAAGGAGAAAATCTCATCCAAAGGAATTTTACCTATTTCCCCCTGTACTTATTCCACTGAAGATATCTTTTTTAAAGAAACAACCCCCCCAAAACTGACCACCAGAACAACAAAGTAGCCAAGATGCTAAATTAATAACCTCATTCGTCAAAATCCACCTTGCCCTTCATACTAACAGCTTTCAAAACCAGTCCTATATCATCCAGTATCTTATATTTTTGTTAAAGGATTCACTGAATTTCTCCCTTCATACAGATAATCTTTTTCCTTTGAGAGAGAGGCAGAGAATAGTGCAAATTTTCCAGTCACTGGGATTTTCCCTACAAACTAGGACAGGCATTACCCTAGTCAGCTGCAGAGAGGCAAAGGTGTTGCGAGTTACTCCTTCTGTACAGAAAGGAGCAGGAAGGCCAAGAAAGACAAGGGGGACATATTCCTGCCTCCCCCATTCCCCCCCCCCCCCCTCTCATAGGAAAAAAACAAAAAAAAAAAAAAAGATACCCCCCCCCCCCCCCCCCCCCCCCCCCAAAAAAAAAAACCCCAAAAGGTTGCTTAGGGTCCATGTGCCCAGATGAAGCTGCAGTGGGTTAGTTCAGTCACCCCACCCCAGCCAAGCCACAATAACTGATCATGCACAGGCTGTCCTCCCACTCCAAAGCTCACCATTTCTGCTTTAACCAGAAATACCACATTCCAAGGCTCTAATCCTTTAGCTCACAGCAGCACAGGCAGCTGTGGGCTAAAAGCCACATTAAACTCACTGGAGGAGAAGCATTTGCTGAAATGCTTTGCTGAACAAGGATGAGCAACTGTGCTTGGGCTTTAGCTACACTTAAAACTCCTGTACATCTTGGCTCTGGTTTTCTTTGCCACATGGCAGCTGGTTACGTCCAAGAATTCCTGGGAGGGAAAGTGACTGTAGAAACTCAGCTGTGCAACATATGCTCCATCTAGTGTTTATTCGTAGTATTTAATTTTCTTAAAAGGTTTGGTTTGCTGTCAACACATATTTCCATCTTTTCTATAGTTCATATGTCTATATATGATCATTGTTGAAAATAACCTTCTGCTTTTTCAGGTACACCATTTTGATCTAGCCTCCACTTACACCTTCAGTGATGATTATATACCTATTTCCATTTAGAGATTAAATAGAGCAAAATGAAGGAAAAATGTTTTAAAAGAGCAGCAAGGGTTTCCCCAGGTGCGCTGTTCACACCAAGTGAATGGCAAACGTCAAGCAGGAGTAAAACATAAAACCTGAAGGACACACAGGGGAACATTTCTCCCCATAAACGATACTTCCCAGACATGAGGGTACTGTGCTGAGCCCCTTTGCCATAGACTGAAGTACTTTTTTGTCCTCTATGTCGAGCCAGGCTGCTGGGGAAGGGAAGGAAAATAAGCAGGTGACTGCCTCTTCACACCAGAGCACAGCAGCTGCTGGGAGCAAGTCCTGACAAGCAGTTTGGCAAAGCTCTGGAGCAAAAATGACCTGGAAATGCATCCAGGTTGACTGCAAGGCATCTTTGCATGATAGAAAAAAGGGACAGTGGCAACAGCCATCAGGCTTGGCAACTGCCATGTGTATTTGGAAAGGGCAGGACTTGCATGCCAAATTTGCTTGTGGGGCAAAATACTCCAACACACAGAGTCTCTTTTTACCACATGCTGTTCCCTTATTTGCATTACTTGAGGGAGTTCCTGGTTCCTAATTTGCTGTTCAGCTGATGGTAATGCCCTTAACTGCAAAAAGAAAAGCCAACAGCAGGCGGGACAAGAAGTCCCAAGCTCACATTTTGATAAAGAAGTAAAAGAAAAAAAGCCCAAACCCATTCTGTTGTGTTAGCAGGACTGGTGAGGTGTTGGGATGGGCTGCCTTGCAATGGGCCAGGATCTGCAATGGCACAGACCTTCAGAAAAAAGTTGAACATTCCCATAGGAAGGCTTGGGCTGGCTGATCCTACCTGGAGTGGTGGCAGCCTAAGCAGGCACACTTTTTTTGGGAGGAGGCCAAGAGGATCTCAGCCCAGCTAAAAGGAGAGCTAGCAAGGAGCTATGATAGAAACAGACAGCCCTTGGACACTGCAACCACAGGGTACAATCCCAGGCACAGATTTAAGCTCAGAAACAGAGCTTTCATTGCTGTGGAAAGCAGAAGGGGAACTGACAATACGGCTTCCTTTGGCAGAATGCCTTTAGGAGATCCCCACATCCCCTGCCTGCTCTTCCCATGTGCCAGAGCTTGCAGCAGAGCTCCCCAAAGCTGTGCTGTGGCACTGGCACAGGTGAGAACGCAGCAAACTGGGAGCAGGCCCCTGTGTGGAGCAACCACACAGGCTCCTCTGGGGTGGCATAAAACTAAATACATAGAAGGGGATTTGCTGTAATAGCACTGCTTGAGTAGACCCTCCAATAAATCACCTGCTGCAGGATATCTTCTAGGGCAGCACACAAACCAGGGCCACTTTGCAGAGATTTAGGTCCAGTTTGCTGCAGAAAATGAGAACAGCTTGCCCTAATGAGGAATGCACAACATGAAAAAAACATCTTCCAACTGTGTGTTTTGTGGTGCTTTTCACAGGTGATGGTCATGCTGCTCTTCCCCATGCAGCTGCTGGCAGTGGCTGTCACTGTTTACCTAGAGCTGGTGAGGTCTGCTCAAGGTGGTGCCTACTATGGGCTCAAGCAGCTGCCACCTCAGGTGCCCCAGTACCAACCCCTCGGACAACAAGTACCTCACATGCCGCTGGGCAAAGAAGGCATCCCGATGCAGCACCTGGGCAAGGAGGTGCCCCGCATGCCCTACGGGAAGGAGTACCCCCATCTGCCCCAGTACAGGAAGGAGGTCCCGCAGATGCCCATGCTCGGCAAGGATATGGCTCCCAAGAAAGAAAAAGGTAGGTCAGCATGTCCCTCTCCACTCCTGCACGGTCCCATCCGGCTTGCCAGAGCACTGTTTGCCATCGGGAAATTGAACAGTGGAGCAGGCTGCTGCTGCTGCAGGCTGGGCACAGCTTGTGCCCAAAGGGCTGGCCAGGCTCATACTTGGCCACAGGTGGACAAAACAGGTTCATGGGAGCTGTGGGGTGGCTCAGGGTCACCAGCACAAGATCACAGTCATCCTCTGGGCTGCAGCACAGCCTCTGAGCAGCCCTACCTGCAATGAGCCTCCAGCACAAAGGTTTGCTTAGGTGCTGTTCAACTCTAGGAAAAACCTTGTCATCCCACCGGTTTGTAGGAGACCCTCTGATGGGGTTTCAAATGATGGCCCAGAGTCCTGTCTGGATCTGTTCCCACTCTCACTGTAACAAGCAAACATATGAACTAAGAGCCCCAAGGTTTGAATTTATGGGAACATCACCGTTCTGTCTGACTTGGTCCAGACCCTGTGATTTTGAGGTTTGTGGATAAAAATATACAATTGCTCTGCTGACTCTGGAGTCCTCCTTCTGTAGGTTATTTATGGGTGTAACAGAGGCATTGAAAGTACAGAGGATTAATGCACAAGTCTGCACGTACAAGCACTTTCCCTATTCAGTAAAGTAAGTTTGGACATTATTAAGGTATTTAAGAAAAAAAAAGGTCCAAAACACAAAGGGTGACCAGGAACACCCAGTGTCATAAAATCCTTGTGAGGACCACCAGCATCTGTGCAACTGCAGACAAACGGGTAACTTTGTCTTACTGAGGCCTCAGCTAACCACAGCCTCCACTGACTTCAGAGGGAAATGGAAGGTTTCAGGGCCTATTTTTGGAGTGTCTGAACAAGCACCATTGGCTGTAGTAAAGTCAACCTACCTCATGAGCAAAGATTTTTGATGTGCATAAAACACAACATATGCAGAGAGGGAAGGTTTCTGCCTCCCATAAAGCAGACGTCTGTCCTCAAACCTCATCTCCTGTCCTTCCCCAAATCTCTCACTTCTTTACACATTTTAGAGCTGGAAAGAGTTTCCATTAACTCAAAAAGCAGTAGCTTGAAAAGCAACCAACCCCAGCAGCAACTTCCCTACCCTGACCTGCAAAGATAAGTGGTCACATACACAAAAATGTGGGTTTCAACAATAAAAACCTTTTGTAAAGTGTTTAGAAGAGCCATAACTAGAAATGGCTATGCCAAAAGAGCAATACTGATTAAGGCTGCAGGTTTCCAGTAATACTCTAATGGGAACCAAAGCCTTGGGGAAAATACAGACATACCCTCTGTATAAACTTCTTACTAATACAATCTTTTTTAATTGATCTTGCTCATTTACACCCCTCCAGAAAAGGCACTTTTATGCCAGGATTCCTCCCACACCACAAGAGCACCGAGTTTCCTGCAAAAATTCTTAAAGGTAGATTGATCTATAGCAACGTGGGACAAAATGCAGATTTTGCTGTTTAAGATTGTATAGGTAGAAAACACCACCAAAGCACAAATCGCTTTTTACATATGATGCACAGTAATTGTGGAAACAGAAGCATGCATGGAAGTTTGGAGTATGAAAAACAGTACTAACATCCTCTTCATTCTCAACACCAACCTGTAACTTGCTAGCTGTCTCTTGTCTCCCACAGAACCACAAGGCATCATAAAAAGCATATTCAATTCAAAACTGCCTGTTTTTTGAAGGATGTGACTGCACTCACCTTTTATCTCTCTCTCTCTCTCTCTCCCCTTTCTTCATTTCTTCCTGACCCAGAAATTCCCATGCGCAGTCTGAGGGGTGAGCAAGGTCCCCCAGGTGAGCCTGGACCAAGAGGGCCACCAGGGCCACCAGGATTACCAGGTCATGGTGTACCAGGAGCCAAAGGAAAACCAGGCCCGCAAGGATACCCAGGAATTGGAAAGCCGGGTTTGCCAGGGATGCCAGGAAAACCAGGGGTCATGGGGCCCCCAGGGCCAAGAGGGGAGATGGGGCCAAAGGGGGAGATTGGGCCCATGGGGATACCTGGACCGCAAGGACCACCAGGGCCTCATGGGCTTCCTGGGATAGGGAAAGCGGGTGCTCCGGGACTGCAGGGGCAACCAGGGCCAAAGGGTGAGCCTGGGATGAAGGGACCACCAGGAATCCCTGGGATCCCAGGGCCAAAAGGGGAGAAGGGGGTCGGGATCCCAGGTTTGCCAGGTCTGAAGGGTCCACCTGGGCTGCCTGGTCCCCCTGGCCCCGTGGGACTGCCAGGGGTGGGCAAACCCGGCCTGGTTGGCTTCCCTGGCCCACAGGGACCCCTGGGCAAACCCGGACCCCCAGGAGAGTTGGGTCTGCAGGGGCCTCCAGGGGCCCCTGGGATCCAAGGCCCTCCCGGCCCGCCTGGTATTGGCAAACCAGGCCAGGACGGCATGCCCGGCCAGCCCGGCTTCCCGGGCGGCAAAGGGGAGCAGGGATTGCCAGGCCTGCCCGGGCCCCCCGGCCTCCCTGGGGTTGGGAAGCCGGGCTTCCCCGGGCCCAAAGGGGAGCGAGGTGTGGGTGGTCTGCCTGGGCCCCTGGGGCCGAAGGGGGAGAAGGGGCACGCGGGGCCACCTGGCATGGGAGGGCCACCAGGGGAGCCCGGCCAGCCAGGACTGCCGGGCATCATGGGCCCCCCGGGGGCCGCTGGTTTCCCGGGACCTAAAGGGGAGGAGGGTGCCGTAGGGTCACCAGGACCAGTCGGCCCCAAGGGGGAACCCGGCCTGCAGGGTTTTCCAGGAAAGCCAGGCTTTCCTGGGGAAGTGGGTGGCCCTGGGCTGCGAGGGCTGCCGGGTCCCACGGGACCCAAGGGGGAAGCCGGACACAAAGGCTTGCCGGGGCTGCCGGGAGTCCCGGGTCTTGTGGGGCCTAAGGGTGAGCCCGGGCTCCCCGGTGCCCAGGGGCTTCAAGGCCCCTCGGGCATCCCGGGCATCGCGGGACCCAGTGGTCCCATCGGCCCCCCCGGGCTGCCAGGGGCGAAGGGGGAGCCAGGCATGCCCGGCCCCCCCGGCTTCCCTGGGGTAGGCAAACCTGGTGCTGCGGGGCTGCAGGGACCCCCGGGAAAGCCTGGCGCGCTCGGTCCTCCTGGCCAGCCTGGGCTCCAGGGGCCACCCGGCCCCCCCGGGCCGCCAGGTCCCCCGGTCATCATCCCACCCACTCCACCAGCCGTGGGACAGTACCTACCTGAGGTGGGGCCAGGGATAGAAGGCTTGAAGCCCCCCTACGGCTACAAGGGCAAGAAAGGCAAGGCTGGCGGCATTGTCTACGAGATGCCCGCATTCACGGCAGAGCTCCTCACGCCGTTCCCCCGCGTCGGGGTACCCGTGAAGTTCGACAAGCTCCTGTACAACGGCCGGCAGAACTACAACCCCCAGACGGGGATCTTCACCTGCGAGATCCCCGGCGTCTACTACTTCGCCTACCACCTGCACTGTAAAGGCGCCAACGTGTGGGTGGCGCTGTACAAGAACAACGAGCCGCTCATGTACACCTACGACGAGTACAAGAAGGGCTTCCTGGACCAGGCTTCGGGTAGCGCCGTGGTGCAGCTGATGCACGGAGACAAGGTTTACGTTCAGATGCCATCCGAGCAGGCGGCAGGACTCTATGCCGGGCAGTACGTTCATTCGTCTTTTTCAGGGTATTTATTGTATCCCATGTAAAACAAAACAGACACACACACACACACACACAACACACACACAAAATAAAAACCTTTCTCCTGTGCTTCTAATTTTTACACAACAAAAGACGCATTTTATGACCATTTTGGACCATCTTGTACAAAAACAAAAATAACAAATACAAAGTTTAACATTATGCACAGCTAGTTATAAAAAAAAGGTGTGGTGAACATATCTAAAGATGTGTATCAGGTTCATAAACAGTTGTTTTGCACCCAAGGGGGACATATTAGCTGTACACATTATATATTTCCGCAATGCCATGCTTACTTAATTTCATTCACAGTAATTCAGTACTCAAATTCAAATCAGTGTATGTCACTCACTCCTGTTGCATTGATCATAGTTATGAGATGAAAAACAGTGACTTAAAGCAGAGTAGGTCAGTCTCTAATTATATTTTTAAAAAATCGAGTGGCTTATTTTCTGGGTGGGAGTTTTCTTGGATTTTTTATAGCAGGTCTACCTGACAAGTAAAGGTTTCCTTAGCTGGAGACTCGTATTTCCCTTCCCCTGTAATAAAATAATCCTGCACGTGTGGGTTTTTTTCCTGAACAATTTATTTATGATGAAAGAGGAATCCTGATGGCATGACCATTCCCCCTGAGCCTTCTCCAGCAGGACCTAAAATGTCACTAGTGACTCCGGCAGGCACTGGTTTCACCTCCAAATGCCACAGCACTTGAAAAGTCTCCGTTCTCTATTCACACAGCCAAGTAGATGAGGTCAATCTCCCCCATTTACTTGAGCCACGTCATTGAGACATTTTGGCCAACACACGGTAATACTTCAGGGTGGCATAAATTTGCTTGGATTTCTGTGCTTGTACCAAGAACTCACTTGGCTTGTCAGAAGAGACACGTATTCTGCCACTCAGCAAAAGCTGACTCAGTTTGCTCTTCAATGACTAGGCAAAGCAGAAGCAGCTCTGTTTGCTTGACTGATTTGTTGCTTGAGAACAACTAATAACTTTACCGGCAATACTGATCACACAAATTTATCCGAGAACTTGGTTCTGTCTAAAAACTGATTTCCAATCCTTACTTGTATGTTACCAGTTGTCAAGGAGAACCTGCAGGCCGCAATACTTTTTCTGTACTTGAGGACATCGACTTCTGTGCACGAAGTCTCTGTCTGCTCATCAGTGGTGCTAATCTCACCTCAGCAAGTGTTCTTTCCAAAGGGCAGTGGACCTTGCTCTGGTTTCCTGTACAGTGCTGCACATCACACAAGGCTGCGCTAGTTCAAGTGGTTAAGTGCTCATCACTTCCTCAGTGTCTTTAACTACCGCTACTGCTTTTGATTCAAAAATAAACTAGATTTTTTCATGCAGAACTAAGATTGGATTTAACTGGCATTATCATTATTTAAATGCAGAGTTTAATGCAGTCTAACATTGACTAAGGATTCCAGTGATATAATGTGGTGCTTTATCTCAGAAATTTTATGGAACAGTGGCAGGAATGGATGGACAGTTTACCAGACACTGGTGACTTCAGTATGTTCCCAGAATATATGAGATATGTCAAAAGCAAATAATTTTTGTATTTAAAATTTTTGTACTGATTTGAAAGAAATATCTTATTAAATATCTTTAAAAATAAGACCAAAAACCAATTCTGTCTTCATTCAGAACTATCAGAAGGAACATTCATCCTGCTGAACTCATTTATCAGACCACAAGGGCTCTCTGAAACCACTGATATAGGGGGGGAAAATTAAGAGATACACCCTTTTCTCTAGTTCCCATCTCCTGGCAAAACATGCTCTAAGAGAGGGAACACGTCCCATTTGGTGGGAGGGCACAGCAGGGTCTGTGGGGTACACAAAGAGGGAGGGGCTCCCTCAGGCAGTCCCTGGGGACAGATACTGCTCAGCATGAGCCAACATGGGAGTGCAGCTGAAGAAGGCCGAGGGGCAGCCAAGGAATCAGCCACAGAGGCTGCTGCTAAGGGCTTGTGTTGCCTGAAAAGGCAGTACTGGCTGCCCAGGATCAGAGGTGCTGGCTCTCCTGATGTGGCTTCCCCACCTCACCTCAAAGACAAGCATTCTGTCCAAGCTGGTGAACTCCTGAACTGTCCTTACTGAAAGCAATGCACTGAATACCTACTGTGCTAGAGAATTGTTATCCAACTCTCCCTTGGACTCCCTGAAGCCCTCAGCATCTCATTTTTACTGCACAAAGGAAAAACAGCTAGCGAAGTACTGCACTCTCAGTATCTCTCACTTTCTATCTAAAGCCATTTTCACTTTCTGAAAATTTGTATTGCACACTATTGTCTTTTTTCTGCATCTCTTGTTTTAGCATTCCCCCGCCAGCCCACAGTAAGACAAACAAGATTCAAAATACAATGAAAAATTCGAATCACAAGGATGCTGTTCTTTATCTTACCCACAAAAAACATGTCTCAGCTATGGCTGTACTCAGCCTGGAGTTAGATCTCTAGCCACAGTACAACTCTGCCCACCTAGGTTCAAAAACTTTCAGCTGTTTGCTCTACAAAGCACTAAAGTTTGTTCCAGCACATGAAACCATATCTGACAACACCATTTACTTGACACACTAATAATAACGGCCCTGAGCATACCCACACATCCACACTCACATGCAGAGCACCAGCCTTGCAAAAATAAGTCTGAGGGCACTGTCTTTAACAGTTTATTCAAAGGAAAATAATCTCCTTCCATATGTAGCATTCAAAATTTCACTTGAAACAACTCGAAGAATTCTTCAAAATACAGGTGGCACTTTAAAGGCATATAAAACTTAAGACAAATGGCAAATAAGTATTTCCCAGTATCAAAAACATATGCAGAGCTTTGTATGTTCTTAAAAACCAGAGTCCACTTAAAAGGGAAGGTATTTATACTCTCCCCCAGAGAATTGCTAAAAATGAAAGCATAGCATTGGAAACAAGAAGTACCACATGCTAATTAAACACCAAAGTTGTGATTCTCTATTATTATCACCGACACAGTCCCTAAAAATATCTGGAATATGTTTAGTTACATCTTTTAGGCACTCTCAGTTCCATATTTAGTGCAACAGTCTGCGACTTCCCTTAATTATTACAGCAGAGGAAATAACAGCTTCCCAACAAAGAAACCTCATGAAAGTCTGAGCCAAATGGAGCTTTCAGCCAACATGTGTCATCCTGCCTGTTCTGTGCATAGTTTGGTATTTTAGAGCTGTGTCTGACAGTGCAGCATTTTGAGAAGGGTGGCAGATAAAATGCAGAAGCACCTTTGCTGTAAGGTGATGCTGTCTAGAAATTCAACAAGCTGCCAGAGAACAGGAACAGAGTATTAAGGGAGGAGAACATCTGACTTCAGATAGAAAAATTATGGGAGAAACTGGGGACCTACACAGTTACACCATTATCAGACACAGAAATAAAGCTGGCAGCACCCTGGGATTCAAAACTGGCAGCTTCACTCCTGATATGATTTAAAAAAAAAAAAAAAAAACAAAAAAAAACCCAAAACTGGATAGCTCTTAAAGGGAAGTTTCAGTGCAGATTTCATTTTCAGAAATGACAAAAAGGTAAAATAGTCTTAATAGCAGCTCAGGTTCAGAAACTATCTAAATATTTGATGTTAGCATTATTGTTTTATTCTAAAACCCCCAAGTTAAGTCTTTGGTACTGCAAAACACCTGTGAAAATGTGTGCCCAGACAGAATAGACACTAATCTGTGAGTACTGCTGAGAAATACACTACACATGGGTGTTCCTGCCTGAATTAAGTTCAAAGCAAGACCTGTCCTCAAGGCAGAGCAGCAGGAATTATTAAAGCAGGTGCACAGTGCACAGGATCCTACAAAACATCTTGTGGGGAGAACAATTCATGACTTGGCTCACTGCTTGCATTATAGAGGAGAAAAGCTACTGGCCTGCAAGCTGGGCTTTCAAAAAAAACAAACCAAAACAAAACAAAAACCCCAAACAAAAAACCAAACAAACAAAAACCCCAACAACAACAAAAAAACCCCACCACAAATGCCCCATAGTTTATCAGCAGCATCAGCTCTTGGCTTGATCCTGAGGGAACAGTTTCATTCAAAACATTACCCAGTCACCCAGGGACAATAACTGTGGTGGACTCAACACCCCTGGCAGGAGCACAGAAGTGGGAGAAAAATATCCCTGGAAGTACTGCTTAATTTGAAAAATAAGTCAGCCATACCATGGGAAGGCTTATTAGGATATGAAAAGAAACAGCTGATATGGATAAATGCTTATAGAGAACATATTAAATTCCTTGATAACACCAAACATTATTTTTTAAAAAATATAGGGAGATCAAAAAGCTGATCTTTGTGGCAAAAGTGAAGATGATTGAAGGGATTTTTTTTAAGTACAAAGAGTTTGGGAGACACCATTTGTTTACCATGAAGCTGCTATTTTTTTCCAATTATTTTGTTTGTTCTGCTACAGCTAGAATCCAAATCCCAAAAAAAGCAGAAAACCTACTAGAAAAATCAGAGAAGGAATCAGTTTACATTAGTGGGAAGAGTATCTCTGGAGATGAAATTAAGCAGAGAAAATAACCACATCTTCAAAAGCAGAGCTCTGTACCCACTTCCTGGCACTGGAGACAGGGGTGGAGAAGCAGAGGGATGCAGTCTGCACCATCACAAGAACTCTCCTCACAGTGTCTGCAAGATATTCAACAGCTCTCCTGGAAAAAAATCCTCCTGGACAGCATCCTGCAAGACATTACATGGATGCAGCTGGACCGTGGCAACAGCCATTGGGAGAGCTGGGGGCCCCAGCTCTGGAAGCAACCGCAGGTTTTGAGGGTGAAGGGGCAGCCCCCCACTTCTGCTGGCCTCGGCTCTCAACACAGTCTAAGATCTACCAGGGGTCCTCTGCAACAACAGCTTGGAGAACACTGCTATGTCTGCAAAAAGCCTTGCCACAGCAGTGGAATTACTATGGTCAGGAGTTTAAATCATTGTAGGTCTGCGGCTGCAGAATCACATACAAAACTTTTTAATTAACTGAAATAGCCAGGAGAAATAAACGCTGGTAGAGACACAAAGACAATAATGTCACTATTTTCTTATGTATACATGTTGGTACTGAGATTTTCAAGCAAAAATCTCTCCAAAGTCTCAGGAAAAAATAAAGGAAGTACAAAAAATTAAGAGCCCTTCTGCCACTTGGTGAAGAAATTATGATTTCCTCCATCTCTACCACCAGTGTCACCTGTTCCAACACCTGGGGACATGCTCCTTCTCCTCCACACCCCCACCTGCCACCCTGCACAAAGCTGGAGTGCAGCTGCAGCCAAGCAACATGCAGCAGACAATACACCATGGCACATCCTGTCCCTTGCTGGGACACACCTGCATCCTTCCCCAGCCCATGCCACAGATTTTTCTGACATCTCAAGTTATTTCAGGTATGTCCAGCTTGCTTGAAACAGACCAAAGCTCAGGAATCACTGGGTGAAAACACAAGCCTCCTTCCCTCCAGCTGTGGCACCTCTCCAGACCACACTGCCCTCCCCCTAACTCCCAAATGGCAATTCCTCTACATAGCTGCAGCAAAATAAATTGTGTTCAGTACTCTTGCAATCCTCACCTCCTGAAAATAACAAATACCATGGTTTATGTTCATATTGTGATTGTTTGCATTACTCCTAAATATCCTCTCTATATAATTTTATTTAAAAGCAACAACAGTACTACCAACTTCAAAGACTTTAAGTGGGCTTATTTGTGACTTCTTCAGGTTTGATTGATAAAGATAAACCACAAAATCTTCCAGAAATTCTGCCATAATTAAAATTAAAATTTTATATAGATGTCCTATGAAGAGAACTGGAACTGCATATTGTTATCCTTTGACAGCTGTCAAGCGTGTTCCCAAACAGATTTCATTTATTCACAGGCTTGTCAGAGACAAACCAATACAGGAAATATAAACATCCCATTAAATGTTTCAACTAAAATCTTGAGCAAGTTCCCACTGCTAAATGATTTAGTTCATCCACAAACTTCAAACTTAAAGATCAACACAGAAGAGGTAAACAGATGCCAAATGATAATTCAGCTGAGGTACATCCTGGATATTCCCTACCACATTCTGCTACCGAAAATGGGAGTATTCCTTGTTTGTATTGGTGCATTACAGCATCTGAGGAAGGAGATTGTCCTCATTTGGAAAAATCCACCTGTTTTTGAGGACCAAACAAAAGAATGCATGAGATGCTGTCCTGAAGAACTAGGACTCCAACAAACACTGACTCTAAACTCAGGCATGAACATCTCTGTCCAAGCTTGTGTTTCTATTGTGGCACGGGGGCTGACACACAGGTAGTTCGGACAACTCTTCAGTCTTCATATTCCCTCTTTTTTAAGTCAAGTCAGCAACTGTAAAATTTACTGGATGAACAGCACAAAGAGTATTATTCTTCCATAAAATGGGTACAACACAAGCATTGTCAACACCAACATCTCCATGAATCGGACAAAGGGTCTTCACCTTCGGCAAGGGCAGACAGAAGCTCAGAGGTGATGGTCAGTGCAGAAGCTGTGGCTGCTTGGCTGAAGGTGGACATCCTCTCCTCAGGAGTACGGCAGAACAAGACCTGTACAGTCTGTATGTTCCCCCTTCTCCAAAACACACAGTAATGATTTAGATGCACCAGTTTTTTCATACAACGAGACAGATAGTCATGACTTTACATCCACCTACTGAACAAACATCGGTCATCGCAGTCTCTTGACAGTGGAACTCTTTTGGAGGACAATATCAGAAACCAAAGTATTCCAGAGAATTAGTCATTTGGAAAGAGTTCTCACTGATAAGTAAGTGATGTACATCACATTTTTATAAATCCCTGATACTTTCAGTTGAAAGTTTCATGGTTTTCCCACTATTAAATAGCTTCACAGAAATTCAGTTAACTCTTTTTGCAACAGTCCATTACCCTCAGTTAAAAGCTTTTGCCTTGATGAGGTTTCTGGGCTCCTTTAAACAGTAAACAGTTATGCTGCACTTAAAAAATAAAAATGTCATACAAAAAATAAAAATTTTTCAAATCTTGAAAATAGTGATTGTTCTTTGTATTTTCCGTTCAGCTTTCATGTCAAATTGACCACAAAGTTCTTGTCTATAAGCTTCTTCAAAAATTTCTGCTCGGCAGTGATGTTGTGGTATTCATTCTAGAGAGATGTGAGGGAATAATAAAATTAATTATAAAACCAAATTATAACCAGTAGCATCACCTGGCTGTTCTGTTCTATTACCTGGGATACTTGGAAGATGCTAAGAACAGAAAAGGTCTGGGGAAAAGACTTCTTAGCAAAGGCTTAGCACCGTTTCCCAAGAAAACAGGATGCTCAAAACTAGATTAGATATTTCCATAAGGACATGACCAAAAAGGATGATCCTTTGGTCATAAGAACAGGTGAAATGTGCTCTCGCAGAAATCCTTCCAGTATTAACTCTCCCAACTCCTTGCCCTGCTTATTCAGAACAACAGCTGTGTAAGAACATTTACAGCACCAGCAGTAAGAAAAGTAGTAATCCTCAAAGCTCAGTGCAGGTTCTTGAAAAGCACATCAGGCACTTGTGGTTCAGATGCATCCTGCCAATTAGCTTCAGCAACAAAGCAACCCATCTTATGTGCTATCCAGGTTCTGGATAAATAGGAGACCACTAAAGTTAGAGGCAGGCAGCACAAGGAAAGTGAATTTACTTAAAGACACTGAATCCTGTAAATTAAAATTAATATAATATGTATACTACATAAAAGACTATACAGATGTCATATAGTATTTGCAATTTATTGCCACTAAAGAACTAAAATGAATATTTTTGTTTAATAGTTTGCTTTTTGAATTTTCAAGACTTAGGGAACTTATGGATGTCTATTCAACTAATGATCAGTCTTACTCAAACTTAGTATATGTTGCAGAAAAGCACCTGCAGAGAGGAGCTTCCAAAGGAAGGTAAGTTCAGTGTCAGAGGAAAATTATCTCAGAATAGCAGGCATCTAGGAGTTCTGAGAAAAACATGAAAGGTTCCTATGGGCATTGTCTCTGCCCTTCCCCTTCAGCAACTGGAAGAGGAGGAAAATGGTAGCCATATGCTCTGGGAAAAAGGCAAAGAAAACTTCACACTGCAGTAAAGGGCTAAGACAGGGTTGCTTGAAATACAGAGATGAAGACAACGGAACACAAGAGCAGAGACATAAAAGAAAACAGGCATGGCCTTAGCAAAGCAGCAGGAAAGAGACAGCATTCCTGATGTCTTCCAGGCTCCTGCTGCTCCCTCTCCTGCTGAGTTGTGGCTTCCCCCCTCCTGAAAGCAGTTCCTTCTCTTCCTACCCTCCTCCAAGAACTGCTTTTCTTTTCTACTTTTCTACTACTGAGTTCCCAAAATTCAGTTCTTTTCCTATGCAAGACCTATACAAGTTCATAGGTCTTAACTCCTTCCATTTCCCTTTGCTCTTCTTTCTGCCTTTTAAGGAGTCTGACAGCTATGACATACAAGTAGGTGCCAAGGAGAAAGAGAACCCCAGAAGAAAAAACACGGCTCATGTGCATGCTGACAGTGCTAACAAAGATGTCACTAGGACAAGAGCTGTGCAGCCTAAGGAAAACACCAGCAAAGCAGAACACAACACACAAAGGACGTCTCATGCAGACACTGCAGAATATGGTACAGCACAAGGGACACAAAGATCAGTATCTACATTTTTCAGAAAAAACAGCAGACAAGAAGAGATTCAAGCAGTGTTAACCCACAAGCAGCTGAACCAGGAGAAGGTGGGAGGCCCTTCTGACCTGCAGTCCACACTTCTATCTGTATTGAATTGCCTTCCTCAGTTACCAGCTCTATTTCTCTCAGCAGAAACAAGTGCTAGTTACCTGGATCATCTGAGACATGGTTTCATTGCCATAGTAGTGCAAAGAGCTATTTCTGTCAGTGAAGTCGTACTTGAAGCCTGCCAGGTGGACTTCATGGCATATGTGAAATGCCAGTGTAATGGCAATTAGCCCCGTTGTTGGATGCTTGGGTTTCTGCAACAAAAGACAAAGAGTACACACACATACATACCTGGCAGCCTGATGGGAACAGCAAACTTAGAGACAAGGGTAATCAGGCAGCCAGGGTCTTCTACAGATGTTCGGTTTCACAGGCCTCCTGTCTCTAAAGAAATAAGGTACTGCCCCCACAAGTTTCCCATGACCGGGGTGGGGTGTCTGTCATGTCAGCCTTCCCTGGAATTCCTTGGTTTCTAGTGAGGGCTGAGCCCACAGTGTAGCCCTTCCCTCCAGAGAAGCATCAGGAAGTCTCCCCATTGCTCTGCTCAGCTTCTCTCATAAAACTGGACAGGCTTCACTACACTGGAAAACAATTTACAACCCCCTCAAATTTGACTGAATTATGAGATGTGCTCAGAAGTTGCTAGATGATGGAGACCCCGATGAACAGAACATGATACGACAAAATTTTCATAGCAATGAACTAAAAAAGCATGAAGGCTATGGCTACACAAATTTGACTGAATTTGCATTTTTTCAAAGCAGGGAAATTCCAGAACTTTGCTTTAGACCTTCCCATGCTATCCCCATTAGAAGAAACAAGATTTTAAATAAAATTATTCTCTGTACAATAAGTTTGGAAGCAAATGCAATGTAAAATGAAGAGCACATCATAAACAGGTTTTAACTGCGCAAAATTAAGAGCACCTAACCAAAAGGTAGCATTTCTCACAAAAGCACAGAAGAACTCCATGCAACCATCTGCCCTATCTTGTGTTCAGATACATGACTTCTTTAGTAGCAGCAGAGGCTAATATGATCTGGGGAAGTAAATGAGGCATGCTTTTTTAGAGAGAGATTAACTCATTCATTTGACCATGACGAAGCTAAGGTGAAAAGGTGTCCCCAGAAATGGACAAAACTTTCAGGCACCAATACCCCTCTTAGCTAAAGAAATATTTTTCTCAGAGACCAAATGAGCTATCATATGCTCTTGGTAGCTGCAGTCCAACCTCAAACTGAGCACAACATCATGGGCTTTTTTTTGAAGTCTGACCCCAAGACTCAGGTTGTCTCTGAAAAAGAAGCAGACAAACCAGTACTAGACTACTCTGCATAGAAAAGACAGAGGCACTCAATGTATTTCATTGTGACAACACTTTGTATGACAACACAAAAAATCCCCAGGAAGAAGTTACTATTCTCAGCTCTTTAAAGCCTAACTGAAGTCACAGAAAGGAACCATCACCTTTTATGGAAAAATTTTTGGTACCTTTATGCAACTCTTTGAGTATTTCAGAAATATTATCTGCTTAAAACGTGCACTATGCCAAGGGTTCCTGCCAGTTAGCAAAATAACTTTCTGCCTTAGGGGCCCAACATCATAAACTTAGTGGTGGCTCTGCTGCAACATCCATACTAAACAGGACCCCAAAATATGGCAGGAATGCTATAGGTCGGGATTAGTGCTATTTGGAAATATCAGGAATACCACAGGTTGTAACTACCTCTGTTTACCTGTAGCTATTGTAAAATTCACCTAAAAATACATAATTTAAAAGCAACTACTTTTAAAATGTACTATCATGCAATACACAGATATCCTTCACCTGCAATTAAATATTTTCAGCCTACTTAATGGGAATAGGCACAGCCCTGGAATGACACCATTACACTTTCTGAGTTTAGTGGTGCTGGGGCAACATATCTGATTTTATTCCCGGCTCTACTAACAATCAGAAGTGCTTGCTGGCTATGCACTAACATGCTCACTGGGAATGTGAGACTGGTTTAATGGAAAAGGCAGGGACAGCAGGGAAATCAGCAGTAGTTGCTGGCATGTCCTGCAGGCAGAGGACAGCGAAGGCAGCACCAGCTCTGCCCAGGGACAAGCAATGGTACAGAGGGCCCCGGTGTGAGACCTTCCTGCCCACAGAGCCCGTAGTGTGACCTGCAGCTTAACCAAGCTGTGCCAGGGCCACTGCAGATGTGCAGGCTTCCAGGCACAGAGGTGGGCATTACATTCTACTGTAATAAAGATGTAATTGCCTCTAAATACACATTTGGTTGCACAAAACTAGAAGAGACAAAAGGAAAAGCGTACCTCCTTCTTAGGAAACCTTGTTGGGAAATGAAGCCACTCATAAGCAGTTTTCCTGGTGATGGTGGGATCAAGAATCCTGATTTGACTCGATTTGTAGATCATATTCAGAGCTGGTTTCTTCCAAAAGCCCTTCACACTCTGTGACAGGCAAATAAATACACATTTTTAACAGTGAAAACAGTTGAATTTAGTTTTGTAGCAACTCTAACCAGAGTAAACTCCAAGAACATGAGGTTAAAGAAGAAGAAGAAGAGTGCTCAATCTCCCTAAGTTCAAAAACACCTGCTCTGCAACAGGAAACACACTGCTGCAGCTGTAGCCAGCTGGCTGGAAAACAGCATTGCAGAACGGTCCCTGATGGACAACATGTACCAATAATATGCCCTGGAGGCCATAAATGCTCACTGTGTGCTGGCCACGTTAGTAAGAGCATAGACAGGCAGACAGAAGCTGCTATTATTCTCAACTACTTTGCACTGTCCCCTTTCTGCAGTCCTTAAAATGCTGTGTTAGGAGAGTGTCAAACAGCAAGCGGTCACTACAACAGCCAAGGGGCCAGAGCTCACAGCAAACAAAGACTCTGAGCAGGCTTGGTTTGTTCAGCCCATCTTCAACTATCTGGAAGGGGTTAACAAAGATGAGATCACACTCTTCTCAGAGGCACACAGTGAAAGGATAAGGAGAAATATTCTCCTGTAAGTGTGCTAAAGCACTGAAATGGAGTTTGTAGAAATACTCAAAATTTACTCAGACAGTGCCCTGAGAACCCAGTATGACTTTGAACCTGGCCCTTAATGAAAAAAGACTCAAAAAGATTTTGGACTTAAGACTTTCTGAGAGAGATCACTTTTAACATAATTCTGCAATTCCTGCAAGTGTGCAGGGTAAAACAATCTGGGAAATGGCTGGAGCATGCATGTTAAAATATCAAACAACACTAGGAAGAGGATAAAAATACGTTTCCCAGAGGTAAACTGCTCAGTGGTGAGGAACTGATCTAATATGTGCATTAGAAAGATGACAAAGCATTTATGGAAGAGGGATATTAACTACAAGGAGACTGACTACAAGGAGATCCAGAGCTCCTCATAGAATTCACAAAATTCACAGAATGACTAGGTTAGAAGAGACCTTAAAGATCATCGAGTCCAACACACGCCCTAACACCTCAACTAAACAATGGCACCAAGTGCCTCCCTCTCAGGTGGGAGGACTACAGTTAAAAGCAAATGTGTACTTCACACAAGAAATGCGTGGCAAGACGAGCCACGGCACATGAATAATTGAACTCACTATTTTCTGACCACCAAGTATCTCCCAAAGCCACTTCAAGTCCCGTGGTTTGAAGACGATGAGAACAACAGTGGTATTGGGGTCGTAGTGGATGGGATCTGAGAAGATGGATTCTGGGTAAGAAAGGCGGAACGTCGTCCTCCTCCCAACATCCTCTTCGTACCCTATCACAGGGCCATTATTCATTCTGCAGAGGACAGAGGCACAGAGACATCAGTGACTGCTCCACGCGTGTTCTTACTGTGCAGTGGCTGCCACACGTGTTATTAGTCTGCAGGACAGACACTGTGTCTGGGTACAGGAAGTTTAGCAGCCCAGCATCTAGGTATCACATTGCACAGCAGAGGAGCAATTATCAGGTGCCTTCATCCTCTACACTCAGAGGGATCGAGCACACACGGGAACGTGGCCAAGGTCGTTTGGAATACAGTCACACAATTGCTTATCGTGTTATCACATGAGCAGAAAGCAAGTCTTCTGATTTGGCTCCAACACACACACACTAGAGAAGGGCAGAGAGAGTAGCTGGCCTTGGAGAATTACCCATTGCTCTGTGTACACAAAATGAAAAGGAGATAGCATTTACCTTATTATGACATCATATGAGTCAATTTTCTCCCCCAATGTCTTATTTCGAAGTACTCCTCCATTACCAACCACAATGCACCGTCGACAGGGAATGCTGTGGAACAAAGAGAAGTTTTAATATTTGTGACTCCCTGGCTTCATATTATTAATGATACTTCTGCACGTTAACTGGTTCATTTTCTAAGTGAGATCCTGTATCTTTTGCAGCCCTTGGCCCCTACAAAGCAGATTCAACCTCCTATGGCTACTATGGCTGCATTAAAAAAAAAGGCACTATTTCAGGGACTGGCAAAGTCAATAATTGGCTTCTCTCTTGTGAAACTGTTTTTACACATCTCCTTTTTCTAATGGTCTGCTGTTTTAAGTTCATCTAACCAGTCTGTGATATGGGTGCCATTTGATAAATTATCTGCCACAGTTCTTCAAACTTGCCCCAGTCTGGAAAAGCTAACTCAATATTAAGGTGCTTCTGCAGTATTATACAACTCCACACCTCCAAACAAACTAAAGCAGCAAAATTTATGTTCACCTTACAGGCCTATGGACTATACATGTAAAAAATCTTAGCCCAATGACACATGACAGCCTTTCAAATTACTATGGCATGGATTTTTCTCCTTCTACTTAAAAGGTGCCATCAAAACATGTTTACACAAGTGATGTGTGTGCTGTCATAATGCAAAAAGATGGATTCCTTGATTAAAGGTTGCATTCTCATATGATCAGATTCAAATTAGACAGCATTACTAAGCCTATAAAATACTATGTGCTAAAAAATAAGATATTATACTGCATCAAATCAAAAGAGAAATTTTGAATTTACAATACATTCAGAGATAAAAAACATTCAAAATAGTTATTATGGAGATGTTAAACTTGAAAGTTTAAGGGTAAGATTTTCAAAGTTACCACAGGTTTTTTCAGTGCATATTTACCTTTTACCATCTTGTTTCAATGGTAGTAACATGTGCTAAAAAAAGGGGGAGAGCACACAAATAGGCTTGCTGCTTTTTTTATTCAATATATTTTGTCTTTTTAGGGAAGGTTTAAATCAAACATGTAAGACTGCAAACTCCTTCCAGAATAAGCACATCATTTTTTGTTGTAAGAATGCCTCTTTGTTTAGAGCAAAAGCCATTCAATTTGGTTGCAGCAGGAACAATGAGAAAATATGAGTCAACTCACAGTAACACCCCACTCCTTTGGTTCTTTCTTCAATAAGAAAAAGGCTCTATGCCACTTCTTGCTCTAGGTTCAGGACACCAAAACTGTGTCCCAAAAACCACTATAACTTAGAGTGAATTCCCGGCATGGCACTTCATGCAAGCTAATTAATTTCTTTCTCCTGAAATAGTCCAACCTGTTTTTTCAGCTCAGAGCTATTATTCAACATCTATGAAAACAGCTGGTTCCAGCCAAGACTGAGCAACATCTCAATGTACAAAGCAATTCCCTCAATTTCCTACAGAATTAACAACCTCTGCAGAGACAGCTGCCATTAAATATATGTATGTATATGCATACACACACACATATAAAAACAGTGCTCTAAATGCAGCTTTCAGGGATGAGTTACATGAAAAAAGCTAGCATACCTTTCTCTACTGTTTCCTGAACAGCTTAGTAGAAGGCAAGCACTCATTAAAAGACTTCCAGCTAATACTGTAACTCATGTGACCTGGTATCTTGAAAATCAGAAGGGTGAAAACCTGTTATACCATCCTGTCTGCTCACTCCCTCTACACCCTTAATTCCCTTCCTTCCCTCCCACCCTTAACTCCTTCTGACCATTCATTTTCCATTTTATTTTTCTATCTAGTTTGAAAGTATCTTAAGAAAGGAGGCTGATAAACATATGCCTCTTACAATTTACAGCAAGAGTAAGAATGCAGAAGTTGCCCTTTTCCTAAATTACACCTTGTTGTTTACAGCTGTAGCTTAGACCTCAAAGTAAGGAAGGAAAAGAGAAAACCAGATAAAAAAATGTGATCAGTAAGTGATGAAGGTGGAGTGAGGGAGAGGAGCAAAAAGCACAAGATTAGCATACGGTTATATCGTGTGTCCTGGCATTTACTGTGAGGAGGCACTGCTTTTTCTGTTCCTTGTAGATTGTAACTTGAAGTAATTCCTTATTACATACCTTTCATCTTTTGGAAGAGAGGTGATTTAAGATACCTGTTCAGCAAGTTCATCTCTAGCAATTGAAATAATGCCTTTCACTCTGGTATACAATTAAGAACTACATCTCAGTGAAATATATGTATAAAACCCTTCCCAGCTACAGTGATTCATGCCCTAAGAGTGCTGTACACAAAACCTGATGGATCTAGAAAGAATATATTGTATTAAGTCATTGTCTGCTTGATTTGTTTATATTACTGCCTATTAAATAGTAATAGGTCTCATTTTGCTTCAGTACCACTGAAGTATGCTTCATTTTATTAAAAGTAACATACTTCCCAGAACTACTAACCATATCTACATCTCAGAGGATCTACATTTAAAGGATGAATACCGATTTCCTCACCTTTCATCTACAGGACAAGCATTTCCACTTAAAAGGTACAAGCATCTCTGCTTTACAGCACAAACAATTAAGGTCCTGAACTTATGGTTTCAGGGGATTTCTAATGTAACATTTGGCACTCTCCTCCAAACTGCAGACAAAAGAGAAGCTTCTGCCAGCCAATTCTGTATAAATTTACCCCATTATTACACTCCTGAAAGAAAATACAGTTTTACTTTTTTTCCTTCCTTAAGAGTAAACTTGAACATCCTAGAAACAGACTAAATACAGAGAAAGGTAGGAGTACAGTAGGGAGGAAAAAAAGAAAAACTCTGTATTAAAACAAATCCTTAGGTGTGAACATATTCTACCCAAGTTTAATTACACTGTGATCCTGACATTTGGCTTCAAGCAGCAATCTTTTATGATCTCTGTAATTAAAAAACAAAAACAAGTACAGCCAAGCTCAGCGTTATTTGCATTCACTCTATTAAGAAATGTGTATATTAACATCACTTCTGGCAGGATGTCAGCCCATTTGCTAGACTGCAAATCTAAGGAGTCATTTGCATCCCACTTTGTAAACATAGGACTTTAGTCTACTTGCCAACCCCACCGGCAAAAAAAAACCAAAAAAGCCGAGCAAAAAACAAGACACACAAACACAAAGGCTCTCCAAAACAAAACAAAACCTGGCAGACGTGACTTCCAACAAGAGATTTAATCTAATTAAAGATTTAATCTAATTTAATCTATCTAATCCATGGGAGGCAAGTTATCTAAGACATGCTTCCTTCCGCGCCACACCCTTGTTACTTCCAAAAGGACAGCCTTTCCCGTCTTCCTAGATCTCCCTCACCCACAAGGAAAAGGAAATTGAGCGCAAGTAGGAACAAGGGTGCGCAGCAGCCAGCAGATCAGAGGCACAGGGATATGCCCAAGATTTGTTCTGCTTAGAAGCAGACACTGGTTTGCACCTGCTTATCTCAAACATTCTCCATCTTACACTGAATTTGCAAGAGAAGGTCACATTCAATCTAAGTATGAAAAGATACTACAGGAAGATGGGACTGCATTCAGCTGGAGAATTTCTAAAACTCTTATAAAAGGAAATTTCTAAGTTAAAGCTCTCTCAGAGAGTAATTTTTCTTTCATGCTGCTACTACTGAAGTGTAAAACCAAGCCTACTGAAACCTTGGAATCAGCTCCACACTGCTTGGACCCTGTAAATCTGCTCTAACTACATGTCTTGACTAATTTGAGCAATTCAGGATAACCCCACAGACACTCCTTTTCAGGTAAGTACTAAATATTAAAAATGCAACCAACAGAAACAGTAGCAAATAAACCATCTCACCTGTCTTCTTCACTGGAAAGACCACAGTTCTGCAATCTTGAAAGGGCTAAACGAAAAAATTGCTCTAAAAAGCAAATATAAACAAGATTAATGAAAACACGCAGTAGTTGCAATACAAAAATACGCATACCACTCTGACCACAATGTTTTCAAACACAGTAGTACACTGTGCATAAAAACATCAAAGTCACAACACTTGGAACTTAGTGCCACAGATCAACCAATGATGCCAAAGCTGAGGTTTATCACAGCTCCACTCTGAGTTTTTTCTGCCTCAAAATACAAAATAGCATGAAATCTCTGTTAAAAAAATAATCTTAGTTACAGTAAACAAGAACTGGAAGAATTTCCAAGATCCACATCCTGACTCACTTTGGTTTTTCTTCTACCCACCTTCAGCTGACTCAAGTGGGTTCATACAGCCAGGGACAGTAATAGCATTACATATCTTTGGAGACGACATCAATCAATGTGGTAAAGCTAGACAGAGACACCTCCCCAGCCCACCCCTGGTGGGCAGGCTCCTGCTGGACACTTAATTTGCCTCAGAGGAGAAATCCACTCATGCCCAAATGTAGTTTTCCTCACTGTAACCCCAAAAGTGCAGGAAAATGCACCATTGCTGTTACCACTGATGGAGGGCAAATCAGAAGTTGAAAGCCCAGATTAGGAAGGTGCACTGTTAATGTCAGAAACTCTGAAATTTAAGACATTACAATCCTTTCCAAAAGGGTGGCTAACACTCTTAGGGTGTCAGCCCTATTTACGCCGGCCTGACCCACAGAGGCAGTGGGAATGTGCCAGCAAACCTTTCCACAGGTCCAGCAGTGAGGCATTTCATCAATTCCCCCCTGTGGCCCCTTCCACGGCAGGAGCAGCCAGCTCAGTGCCGTGGTTTAGCCCCAGATGGCAATTAAGTGCCACACAGCCACTGAGCCTTCACCATTTGACAAGCAGGAGGATGAGAAAAACTAACATTTGTATGGAAAAGGAATGAGAAAAGGAAATCAAACCAAAGAAAAACAAGTGATGCAGAATACAATTGCTCACCACCTACTGACTGATGCCGCTTCCCAGGCAGCAACCAGCCCCTCCCGTTTAAGTATTGACATGTCATATGGCACAGAATAGCCAGTTTCCAGCTGGGGTCAATTGTCCTGGCAATCCTTCCCTCCACTTCTTGCGCCCCTGCTCACTGGCAGACCACGGGAAACTGAAACGCTCTTGCCTCAGAGTAAGCACTACTTAAAACATCCATGTGTTGTCAATATTATTCTCATGCTGAATCCCAAACACAGCACTGTACCACCTACTAAGAAGAAAATAAATTCTATTCCAATTAAAACCAGGACAGTAAAATGAAAATTTCACTGATGTAGCCGCCTAAACCTGAGGACTTCTGCCTCAGTAGGACTCTGGGTTCCAACCAGTTTAGGTGTGCTGACTGAAGCCCATCACACTGACTCAGTATTTCCCCCAGCAAAGCATAGCTGAGTATCTTCAGCACTCCAGACCACATACAAACAGAAGGAAGCTGAATAAGGTCCACTCTTCCTCACTCAGACCTTTTTGGAGCTTCTCTGCTAAGAGGGGCAACCCCAACCCAGTGTTTTCCTTGTTAAAAACAGGAAGGTGTCAGGTCAGAGGGACTGAACAAAACCATTAAGACACTGCTAGACACCCCAAAAAGACTGGCATCAGTGCACAGGAAAGATCATGGCCACAGATTCAGGTGTCTTTACACCATTTAGATATTTCTGATTAAAAATAAGGTACATGGGAAATACAAACCTGCTCTCTTTATTCCATAAGGTAGTTCAAACTTATTGCTCCCTTGGAACTCTGCCACTCTGATAAAATCATTAGCGCACAGGAACGGGTATATTTTGTCAACACTGATGAAGGAAAAAAGGAAGAAGTTTTAAAACATCGCATGATGTACCTGCCTAAGCCAGTAAGTCATGCAAGTGCTTTGTAAAAAGCTCTCTTTATACTACTTATTACCATTTTTATCATATTATCACCCATTTTTAAAACACAAAAAAATCCACGAGCACAGGGAAAGCAAACAGATGACAGAAAAGGGTAAGAATTTGTAGCAGAAAATACAGGCAAAGAGTGAGATAAAAAGACTTGTCTATTTGTACAATTTATATAGACTCATTAAAATTGTGTGGCTGAAAGCTTGCACCACGAGACCACATATTTAAGAGAATACATAACCCAAAAAGACAGTGAATAACTTCAGGTTTGAAAATAATAGAGGTAGAAAGGAAAACTAAGAGTTATTATTGTACATGGCAATTGAATAAATAAGAACAGAGTTTGAAGCAAGGTTTTAAATTGAAAATACCATCTCCTGATTTGAGCTGCACTCCTACTCCAAACAAGTGACACTATATGACTGTGTTGACATTAGTAAGTTGTTTGGGGCAACAGGGGTGTATCTAAGCAGCAAAAAAGTACAGAGTTCTCATGTCCACATTACATTCATCTTGGGTATTTTATATTCTGTACTAACTCCAGAAGGGTCCCAGCCCTTAGCAGCTGCACCACATGGGCTATGTTCCTGCAGTGCATCTTCTGGCTTAAGCAGATGTCTGAAAGGATCCCAGTGCATTCACACCAGGGTCACCCTGGGATGAGAAGCACGGTGTGTGGGGATCTCAATGAGGTTTGCCTCAAAAGCACATTCTTCCTGAAAACTAAAGCACGATGGCATTATACCTTGTAAATGTCAAGCTAAAAAGAATGGGTGACTTCTTTTGTTGAAAGACAGGAACCACGGAAAAGGGTCTCTCACAGCATGGAAGGCACTCCTATTGCCTTAGTGCCAAGTCCACCCCAATGAGGGAACAGCAGACACAAACGTGTCACATGCTATCATGCCCTTGGCTTCACCTTTGAATTAACTAAGCACGCGCTCAGTGTACTGGCTGACTTTGTAATGATCCTGCATATTAGGTCTTAGATTAAAATGTTAACACAGAAGTATACAGTCATCAGAAAACCTAATGTTAATCATAAAACACCCCAGTCAGCACATGACTTGTTTGCCCACTAAGAACATAAATAGCTGTTAAGAAAACCTTCTTTCAGTTTCCCAAATCAAAGCTAATTTAAGCTCTATGTATTCAGAAGATACTGACAGTAAAAACGGAAAAGAACCCCAAAACCAAAGCACTACAGCTCACACACCAAGAAATGGGCCATAGCTTAAGTAAGGAAGACCAGCTAGCTTTGAGACATCATGCACTAAATATACATATTAAATTTAGTAACCTGCTTTGCTGCTCAGAAACAGCTGCTAAGCTCAAACATAATAAATAATTTACCTACTGAGAAAAGATCCTCAATTCTAGCTTTTCTAGCTCTGGTTCCTTTCCAATAAATAATTCTGCAAGGTTAGAAATCCTTTTAACCTCCCCAGGCTATTACCAAAGTGCACAGAACAGATCTTCAGCTCATGCAAATTGTCTCTATAAAAAAGTTACAGAAATGTGTGAGACTGTCCTAGCTGTGCACGTACCTTCTTCCTGCTGTGTACCTCTGAGCCCATTTCTGCTCCTCTGCTGAACACTAGAGCTACCCTGCTGCACCCAACAAGCAGACAGTCTGGGCACAATCCATGGGAATTAGGATCACCTCACCAGACCAGGAGCTAACTAAAACTCAAAGGCTCCAATTTTACTTTGGGTGGCACAAAGTTTACAGGCTTCTATGTGCTTTAAACACACAAAAGCACTAAAATTATAGCCACGTTTTCTTATATACAAGAAGGGGGGAAAAAAGCCACAGTGTCTTTGTGCAGAGGTTTAAGACTCCTTCAACCAGTTCTTGGCCTAATCTTTCCAAGCTTTCTCAGGGCACTACTCAATGTTCGCTCCAAAATGTGTAAATAGCCCAGTTCTACCTCAATCAGCACAGGCATTCCTTCCCCATCTAAATTCTCATGGAAGACTCACCCCAGTAAAGATTCAAATGCTGGTTTCAGAAGACAAGTGTCCAAGGCATTCCTCCTCTCTACAGCTGTAAGCGGCAGCCTGCAAAAAACCAATTCCAAATAGGAATGGGTAGGAGAAACAAGATAAAGGAAGCTGGACAAATCAAATTAGTAAAAGCTGACTACTGAGTTAAGATCACACAAAGATTTCATTACTCCCTCCCCCTGTGTGATAGAGATGAAACTTTCTCATTGCAGCACAATAACTTTTACTAGCAAAGGCTTTTATCTCACACTGCTGCTCCAAGGGGAGCTGTGACCTCCCTTGCTCAGCAAGTGTCAAAGCAGGCATAATCAGAAGTCAGAACTGAGGCCCACCTGCAGAGAAGCAGGGCTCCTGCGCTCAATCACCCCTGCAGCCATTCCTGATAGCATCCCCATCACTCCTCAGGGAGGAGACAAAGTCTTGTTTGAAGAAGGAAATAGGGCACTTTAAGGAAAACTATATTCTTTTGGGTAAGACATTCCACCCATAACAAGGTTAAGACTCACACTTCTAAGCACATTCGTGACTTGGAGATTTAGCCCATTTAATCACAAATATGAAGCCCAGAAGGGAAGGTAAAGTTCAGTGTGAGCAACACGTGCCGCTGGATTGCATTAAGGACAGAAGGATGAAACCACCAGATCAGAACCACGAGCCAAAGAAACCATTAAAGTTAACTGATTTTGGTAACCTCAAGTTCTTACGTGAATGCTGACGCTGAGAAAGCACCCTGTGAAACCTATCAGCTGGCCACCTTGTTGCTTTCCAGCATCAGCCTCACAGATGGCATTTTGCAGCACAGCTTCAGAAAGAGAGGTTTGCTTTCAAGTTTTAACACAGGTGCTCATTAGTCCCACAAATCTAACTGCAGGAAGTCACAAGCACAAGAGCTGCCTATATATATACACTTGAATACAACAAGTGAAACACACTTCTGGTTAGTAAGTTTTAAGCAAGGAAGTTGCCCTCCAAGCTGTGCTAACTTTGTTCAGGTGTAATTCAGAATTGCACAGATTTGAAAATTGTAAGCCAATGCCCTTCCAACAATTCACTGCTTGTTAGAGACAGTTATTCAAAGTGGCCATAAACATTAAACAAACACTGGAAACATAACATGGACAAATTCCTTTTTGACAAACACCTTACCACTGTGTTTATAACAGGAACAGCCATGGATGCAACTGTACAATTGAGCAGGGAGCCTATCGAAAAAGGCTACAGATTTTAGCCTCAATCCCTCCCACCTATCCAAAACCAAAAGAAAACAACAACCCCACCACAAAAATACTCAACTGCTGAACTTACTGATTGTAACTGATTGTAACTCCACTAGTCTCATAGGAAGGAGAAGCCCTCACAGAGGAAGTCTGTCCATAAAAGCTAATCCTGCAAAAAGGGAAATGTCACAACACTGTGGTTTGCTGTAAATAGAAACCACAATGGAAAGCTATTCGTATCAATTGTACACCATAAACAAGATAAAGGGAGCACATTAACTACTTTTAAAAATTATCACTTATCTTCGTAACAGTTTGGTCAGTCCTGGTCACAGCTGTGCAAAGACCAATGGAAACTCAACTTCTTCAAGTAAGTCTCCCAAATTTTAGGTACCAAGTCACCTGCCCTGTGAGCCTGGAGATAGTGAAGCCTCACTGCCCCCAAGGGCTGCTGTGGGCCTCAACAAATCTCAGCTTTCCAAGAGGTGCCCCCTGCACCTGCAGTTATTCCCATGTGTGGAAAAGGCCTCTCCCACATCACTTATCAGACATTTAATGGAACAAATTAACACTAAACCCACATGGGGTGGAGGGAGATATGGACACCTTATCTCTGTACTTCATGTAACTCCTCACCTGAAGACCTATTTTCATGAACCTCTGAGGGGCTCCCTACCACTGAGGTCCTGACCTCTCCATACAACCAGGCTCAAATTAATTACTAGGTTTGAAAGTGACACAGGAGAACAGGTGACAGGACAAAACAATCATACCAATTTCCTCAGAATACCAAAAGATCTCAACCACAAAACACACACACACACACACAGGGTAATCACTTATGATTACTAGTAACACTCATGGAACAACACAAGAACTCACAGACACATCTCTCTCATACAGCCATGAGGTGTCTGCACTCTAAATGAACAAAGCATCACCATACCAGTAGAAGTTATTTCTCCACAGATTTCCATGCAGGATACCATACATAACAGCAGCAGCCAGGATAAAAACCAGAAGAATTCGTTTCATGACTGATAAACCTGAAACGCAAAAAAAACCAAGAAACTGAAACACATGATGAACTAATGCATGAACTTTATCTAGAGCATCTGGAAACCTAAAAAAGAGAAGTTATTGTCATTACAGACATTCTCTACCACCAGAAGTCTGACAGGTGATCCCGCTGCTTTGGTTTCTCACATAAAGACCCAGTGCCAGGAGCTGCATGCTGTTTTGCATCTACCCGGTGTGTGTTCTCTGCATAGAAGCATGGGTTCACTCCAGGTTCTCTCTGAGGCCTTGAGAGTAGAACTCTTCTGTCCACTGGCAGCCCAAAGAAACCAGCTGGCCTTTACAGATGCCAGTGCTTCTCCTGTTTCTTGTGCCACACACTATCAGTTTCCATAATTACGCAGTTAAACAAGCACTGGCACAGTGCAGGAGGCAGATAGGCTGATGCTGATGAAACAGAACAGGGTATGAGCTGCCACAGATTTCTACTGCCTTTTTTAGGATCACTGAATGTTCTTAAAATCCAGTTTTGACATTTAAAGCTGCACTGAAACTATCTGCTTATGCCTGCACAGTCTTCAGCTACTGACCCAAACTTCACTGCTCAAGCAACAGAAAAATGTTTTCACACAGTACAAAGTGAGGAAGAAAAGTTAGGATCCCATCTGTTGAACTTAAGAAATATCAGAGAAAGGGTCCATTTTTCAAATAGAGTTTTTGCCTCGTCACACAGTCTAGCGAAAGAAAAAGAGAAATATCAGAAACACAGATCTGGCAAGACAGACTCAAGGAAAATCAAGTCCTGTATTGCTCACATCTTAAACAGTGAGCAGCCTTTTCAGTGGCTATGAATGAACTGTTGTTGCTTAATCTTGTGAAAGTCCAGAATAGCCACTCCAGCCACAAGTTACCATGGAAATTTACTTGACAGGTACAGCCTCCTACTATTCCACTTCTCCCCTAACAGCGTCATTACTTTACTTGAGAAGCCACTACTTCTTTATTCTTCTCCACTCGTATCTTACACCAGAATTTAGTTGTAGAGTTAAGAGATGTGGTTTTATAACAGTACCTACCAGTAACAAGGCCATGCAATGAACCAGGTAGAATTTATCAACCTTAAGTATATCCTACAGGCTATCCTGCTCTGTTCTGGAGGAAAAACTTCACAGGCTGCAGCTGTTGCAATTCCAACCTTTCAACTCCCTTTGGGAAGTAGCATTGCCACTTTTCAGCTCCAATTCCCTTGACTCTACTTGAAGGATCACTGCAAATTTGTCTTGACAGTCACTCTCAACTTCTAGAGCCATCTCTAAGTTTTTGCAGTAATTCAGTAAGAGCTTTTCCTTAAAACTCCAAAAATAGAGGAAAACTCACCTACTGGGTTCAGTCATGTGTCATTAACAGCAACTGGCTCATAATCTCGAGTGCCATGACAAGACACATAGAGGACAAGTGAGGGACCAGGCCCAGCTGCATGGGTTTATGAAAGGCAGGTCTGGCTTGACCAACTTGATCTCCTTGTATGACAGAGTGCCCTGCACAGAGGATGAGGGAAAGGCTGTGTATGCTGGGTACCAAATCCTTCGTAAAGCCTTAGACAGCATTTCCCAAAGCATTCTCCTGGACAAACTAGCTGCTCATGGTTTGAATTGGTATGCCCTGCACTGTGGAAAAAAGCTGGCTGGTTAAGCCCAAACACAGGGGGGGAACAGAGTTACATCCAACTGGCAGCCAGTCAGTAGTGGGGCTCCCAGGACTCAGTCCTGTTTAATATTTTTAAAGAAAATATATGGTCTGGACAAGGGGATTGACTGATTGTCACTTTGCAGTGACACAGCTTGAGTGGGAGTGTTCATCTGCTGGAGTGCAGGAAGGCTCTGCAGAACGATCTGGACAGGCTGGATCAATGTGCCAAGGCCAGCTGGAGGAGGTTCAACATGGCCAAGCTGAACTCCTCTGTCTGGGTCACAACAACCTCAAGCAGCACTACAGGCTGGGGGACGCATGGCTGGAAGGCAGAAAAGAACCTGGGAGTGCTGGTCAGCATCGGCTGAACATGAGCCAGTGTGTGCCCACATGGCCAAGAAGGCCAATGACATCCTGGTCTGGATGAGCAAGTGTGACCAGTGAGATGAGGAAAGAGATCACTTCCTCCTCTGTTCCCAGGACTGGTAAGGCCCCACCCTGAACCCTCTGTTCAGTTTTGGGCCCCTGACTGCAAGACAGAGACTGAGGTGCTGAAGCAAGTCCAGAGAAGGACAAAGCTGGTGAAGTGTCTGGAGAAGCAGCAGCTCAATGGGGACCCTGTCACTCTACATCACCTGAAATGGATTTGTAGCAAGGTGGGGTTAGTCTCTTCGCCCAGGCAGCAAGTGACAGGACAAGCAGAAACATCCTCAAGTTGCAGCAGCGGACATTTAAATAAGGTACGAGGAAAAAAAAAAATTCTGAAGGGCTTGTCAAGCACTGAACAGTCTGCCCAGGGAAGTAGTTGAGTCCCCATTTCTGAAGGTATTTAAAAGATGTCTAGGCATGACACTTGAAGGCATGTTTGAGTGGTGGATCTGGCAGTACAGGGCTAATGGTTGCACTCCCTGATCTTTTCCAACCTATGTGATGCTATTATTTACTTGAAAAAGACTGCACTCTCTAGTAGTTTTTTTCCTTTCACTATTAGTATTTTTAACCCCTTCTGCTTTGAAAAGGTTTGCCAAAACATGCCACTAAAGTGTTTAGCCTTACTCCCTAATTCAATCAATGCAAACTTCAGCTAAATAGAACATAACAAACCAGCTGCTTAAATAAAATTGCTAAACTAGCAACTGATTAAATTGCTGATTTTCTAACTTCAGTGTAAGAAAGAACCTTGCTGAAGAGTCAGACCAAGCTACAAAAAAGACAAGGAAAAGCAGCCCCTAAAAGATCTACTAAAACCCAAAAATATTATTTGTAACACTATTTTACACAGAGGGAAGAAAATTGTTCCACTTGCCAAGTATTTACAAAGATATTCATACAACCTGGATTAAAAAAATAATTAAAACACGAGAACAGAAGTCAGCATCATTCTTCAAACAGGATCATAAGGGATCTGTAACAACTTCCCGTGTTTTCTGTAAGATAGTCAGCCTGGTACAGATGTGATAATGTGTCCACCCCAGCTCCAAACAACCAAACAATTAGAGTGTACCTAACACATCCCTTAGACACATCAAATGGTCTTTAATTATATCTTGTCACCATCCCATCCCCCAGTGTCTGGCTTCATTCTATGTTTGAGAGAAAGTTCTGTAGCCAAGAAAGTCTTCACTAAGAAGACTGTTTTTCTTAATCTGGTTTTGTAAACAGAACCATTGCTTTGTTTACAGAAGAAATTGTTCTGGGAGTTATTTTTAATGATGACAGCATCTTCAAGCTCTTACTCCCTATTTTAAAACAGCTGAGTGTTGCAGAAAGTTAATCAAAGGGAAACAAACTCCTAAAATGCAAATATTGCACTAGAAAATTCCCGTAGTCAGAGATGCAAGTAAAGAGGGAATTAAGAAGACACAGTTCAGATGGAAAACAGCAGTTCCATTTCACTTTATTCATTTCAACACAAGAGCCAGAAGATTGATTTAAGCCCATCAACTGAAGTGACAGAGGCCATGGTTCCCTCCCTTAGGTCACTGTCAATCAGAGTTAAGCAAAATAAGGAAGACAAAGCTGGAACTCAACTATTCAATTTCCTCCTCTTTCTTAAAACCCTGCAGTGATCTACACAATGAAAGGAACAAGGAACCCAGTATGACCATGCCTGGCGATCATGGTGTCAGCTGGTCAATTTTCTAAAAGCAACCAATGGGATGTGGAAGTGCTGCAAAGCATGCATCAGCATTTTTTTAATAGTAATCTAAGCTAATTTCTATGGGTCAACTTCTCACCTCCCCCAGAGGACAGAGTTACAATTACAGAATTAGACAAGACTGACTCTGTTACGGTACTCAGACAACCTCAGAGATCAGCCTGCATCTCCCACTGACAGACAGATTCCCCCAAGCTCCTATCAACCCACCAGAAAAACTCATTTGGGTATGTGATCTATTAACTCTATAAGACCTGAGGTTAATATCTTCTTCCCTTGATGGAAGAAGTGAACCCCCATCCTTGTCAGAGGCGAATCATTACTTAAAATTAGTTTTTATTCTAGTACAGTGTGGTATCTGCTATGAGCCACTATATCACACCCTCTGTTTATCTTCCAACTTACACTTGCAGTCAATGCAGTGATGCCACAGAATGTACCCTGCAGGAATCTACAGCTCTTGGACGAGGCAGTCAAATGACCACACTACCATCACCTTCCTTTCGTAACGCTCATAAGCCTCCATTTCTTCCTTAAAAATTACTAGTGTTAATAGCACAACGCAGGAAGCTTTTCCATCTGCCAGACTTATTTTGTAAAGTACCTCTGACTACTACTGAAGTTGAGGTAATAAGTATTTAACTATAAAGTGGCTACTACTAAATTAAATACTAGGCAGCTTAGAACAATCTTAGCTCCATAAACTGTCACAAGACAATGTAAGTTCTTTGCTGGTGCCATTCAGTGACAGCCTGAAAATTTCAGCTCATTGGGACCTCAGATTCCTAGCCCTTGTGGCTGTGGGGGTGGAAGTGAGCTTGAAAATATGCTTTGAGCAGACCTTGAAATTTAAAGGGACAAAAAGCACATAAAAACCTAATAAAGGTTTAAAAAGAAACATCAGAATTTTTAAGATGTAGTCAGTATTTTGTGGGTTTGAGCTTGTGACCTGCAGCACTGCTTCATTTTGGTCAGGATGTAGCACATGCCTGGTGAAACAGCCATGCAGCAAAAAGATAATCGAGGAAGGAGCTCTCACATCATCATCTTTCTCAAGCTGTAAAACACAAGCACATTATGGCACAGATGTATTTCTTCTGCCAAATCTAAGCACTATTCATCTTTTCACATTATTCCCTTTTCCAGTTCTTGCTCTAAGTATGTGCCTAATTGCATCGTTCA